GAATTAATGGTTTCATTATCTGTCAGTTTCTTCACACACACACACACACACACACACACACACACACACACACACACACACACACACACACACAGATATGAGCTAAAGTATCTCATTCTTCACTGTAATGAAATTTGCAAGTTAAGCATAATTTATCACATACAATATTACCAATTTCAATGGTGAAAGTGCCCAAACAAGTTTTTTATATGTAAAAAAGTATAGTATAGTATAGTATAGTATAGTATAGTATAGTATAGTATAGTATAGTATAGTAGTATAGTATAGTAAAGTATAGCATAGTATAGTACAGTATAGAACTCCTCACCTTCTGTGGAGGAGAACCCACGGCCATCTCCACGTAGTATCCCTGACCGGACTTGCCCCGCAGGTTATCTATCATGTCCACAAAGCTCAGGCCGCCCTCCGCCGCCGCTCGCCGCGTGCGGTACCGGCTCGCGCTGCCGCCTCCTTCATAGAAGTCAGCGGCAGCGGCAGGTGGCGGCGGCGACAGCTTGTCGCGAGCGCCTTGCCGCAGTGGCACGCGGATGGCCCGAGACAGGCCCGAGGAGTCAGGTGCGGCGGGCTGGCCGCTGCTGAGCAGACATAAAGTCGACCACACGAGTAGCCCCGTGGAGCCGCGTGGCTCTCTCATGCTGAAACTTGGTTAATTTTGGGTTTTTTTTATGTTAGGTACTTGAGTTTTAGGCGCTCCCCTCAGGAAGAGCTCCAGTCTGAAGAGGCTCGAGAAAAGAATCAGGTGGGTGAGGATGCTAATAGGACGGCTAAAACCATGATGGCAGCTGACCCACGACACGAGGAGGGATGGGGGGTCACTTTGATTCCTCCTCTTCTGTTGGTGTTAAAACCACAGCATACAAACTGAGAGCATTCCAGCGATCCTATAAAACAGCACACAGCAGACGTAAAACCATCCTTGACGCCGAGCCCTTCAGTGACAATACGAGGCGACGCGCAAATCAGCGACTCTTCTGTGCATCAACAAACCGGAGGCCTGGGTCATGTTCACCGGGCTTCTTCGTTTCAAACGACCGAAACCTCCGTCGGAAGGCGGACTGACCAGTAGGCTACCGTAATCCGCATCCGTCCATGTTCCGTCCAGTTCATTCTGCTCTCCGCCTTCCAGACTCTCACCTCCTCCTCCTCCTCCTCCTCCTCCTCCATCTACTCCGCCGCATCCGATCCTTCAGATCCGCGACGGCACGAGCATCTGTACCGTTAAGCTAACTATAAACCCATACTATTTCCGGGAAAGCTTTTCAAAATAAGACTGTAATAAAATGATTGGATTTCTCTCTGGCTCATTGAACACTCTTCACAAAACTGATTTACCTAATTAAGAGCTAATTAAAAGTTCGTCCAAATAAAATTTATTTTATAAAGTGATATAATATTTTTTTCAAGTTTTGCATAAACAAGCAAGAAAGTTGAAATGCACACCTTGTCAATAATAAATGTGGGCATCCTATTGTTTATCAACTTTTATTATGTAGGCAGCATTGTTATGTTCAAACTGTGAACCCTTCCAGAAATAACATTGAGAAGGACTGCATTCTGGGTAGTGAAGTTTTCAGTGTTGTAAATTGAGCATTCTCACTTTAAAATTGTGCACAGCTAGGTTAAAAAAAATGATGCATTGCAGTTTTTTTCTTACAACTGTTAAGATTATTTACATGTTGCCAAAGTCATAGGCTGGTTCTTTTGATTTTTATTTTATACTAAATGAAACAAAAAAAAAACAATGCACAAATGTTGTAACCACCATTTGGCATTTATTAAGATAAGATAAGATAAGATAAGATAAGATAAGATAAGATAAGATAAGATAAGATAAGATAAGATGAACTTTATTGATCCCACAGTGGGGAAATTTGAACATTACAGCAGCTCAAACCAGTGGAGTTGCAGTAACAGGCAGCCTGCCATGGCGCCAACGAAGAAACAAAGAAAAACTGAAAAACACACACAGGAAGGGAAGATGAGGAAAAAAAGCATAAACATCATATTATATCAACACTGTGACACACTATGGTGTTTATGGAAAAAATTATCAAAATTATTAACAATAATCCTAAGAAGTATTATATATGGAGTAGTTTTTTATACTTGCAAGATGACTTTGTTATTTATAGATCTGTTTCTTATTTTATATTTTGTGTTATTTTACTGCATCTTTTGTTAAATTATTACCTCTGAAACTTGCTTTCAGTGAAAGTTGGGGGGTTGTGAGTTGTGATTTTGTGCATTACGTTTATAGTTTAGTCATCCAGATCATGTTTTTTTAGAGACTGCTGTATTATTTATGGGATCACTAACAATTGCGACATAATCACACTGTAAAACTGTAAATTACTGAACAATAAAGAAAATAATGCATTGAAAGCTATTTAAAAGAAGGCAACATTTTTCCCTCTGCTTGTTCTGTGGCAGACTGACTCTTTAATGAGATGATCCAGCACAGTCCCAGTAAGAAGGGATATGGAGGAAGGAAGCTGTCGGTGTCAAACTGCTCTCATTTTTCCTGTCCACAGTGAGTCCCACAGAGACTTTCTCATGATGAAATGGTTCACACTCCTCCTCCAGCACTGGAACTGAATTTTTATGTCCTGTGGATGCAGAGGGGAGCGTGGTGAATAATCCTCCTGCGCATTTACAATAAAGTTGTCCCATTCTCAGCAAGTTTCAGCCCACTGCTGATTGCAGTTCTGATTATTTACAAATTCAGCTGATAAGAGTATGAACCAAAAGCAACAATTCAAATTTTGTTTTCACATAAAATGTGTCGATTATAGCAGTGTTTCCCAAACTTTTTATCTTCTGACCCACAAAATATCCATGGCTCAAACTTGTGACCCCAAATATTACTGGTCTGAGTACACGAACTTCATTAATAACCCTGAAAACACAGGCTTTTTGACAAGATAAACAGCTTGTACACAAATATAAATACTTATTTACAGTTATTTTGTATTTTTGTAATATTTATAGAGAAAATATTACATCAGCAATTATTTTATTACCCTTTAAGTTGATTTCTGGAGATTATCCAAGGTGCTTCATGACCCATAATTGGGTCCCAAGCCCAACTTTGGGAACCAAAGTGCAATGGTTCCCAAACTTTTCAGCTTTTGACCCACAAAATAACAGTAGCAGAGACCTGTGCCACCAGATATTTTTGGATGATAAACATTTGTATCAGGTCAACAAAACATGGGCATAGTAACTATATTTTTTATACCACATTTATCCATTATAAATATATACCTCACTCCTTTGTAACAACTAAGGCAAAAATGTAATTAATTCAGAAAATCTTTTCAGGACCCCACCTTGATGTTTCGGGACCCCACTTTGGGTCCCGACCCCAACTTTGGGAAACACTGGATTATAGGATACTTACTAATAGAAGTCTTTGAGCTGCAGCTTCCTTGTTCCTTGGGTTTGATGGTGATTGGCTCAGCTCTGCCCTCTGGTGGGCAGCACAATACAAGGGGGCTTGTGTTACTTTCCCTACACACAAACACAAGCAGGATGTGTGTGGTGACAGAAGTCTACATGCCTGTTCACACATGTAATGTAAGTGACTATGATTTTCCCATGATTGATAACATGATCACGTCTCTGACATGGCCAGTGCTGAGCCAAGTATAAATGAATACAAAGGTCAAAGATTAGCTATCATCAGCCTTATCATCATTTACAAGCTGATATCTAAAAACACACACACCATGATTATGTCATGGGTTCATCACCGCAAAACCCCCATCTTATGAGATGTGACAGAGTGATAGCTGTTTCAGTCAAACCTTGTAAATTACTTAAAGTGGGATCTTATACAGTGCAGGACCTAGCCAATTTGGCGCCATGGGCAATTTTTTTTTAAATTTGATGCCTGCAACACGTTCTAAAAAAGCTGGAACAGGGACAAAAAAAGACTGGGAGAATTGAGGAGTGCTGAAAAAAGACCTGTTTGGAGCATTTCACAGGTGAACAGGTTAATTGGAAACAGGTGAGTGTCAGGATTAAAGGGATCCACGATTAGTTGTAACATTAAACTTTATTTGACAAACATTTATTTTAACTGTAAAATAAAGACTGTAAAAATACTGTAGACTGTTTAGTTTGTAATTTTTTAAAAAAATGTATTTTAACACGGACCGAACCATTTTACTACACGCAAAGCATTCTGGGTAAATGATGACATCAACTAGGTCATTGGTGCAAGGCTGCTAGTGAGCTATGTCCACCCTGAAGGTTAATCTTGGACAATATCTGATGATYGWCTCTTTTAAATGAAACCAGAGAGCGTTGACAGAGAGGAGAAGGTAGAAATGACTCAGCCTGTAACTGAAAATATAGATGGAGGACAACAGAGCTGCTTCATGGAAGAACCTCAGCTTAGCCTGTTAGCCTTCGCGCTAGCACCAATACTATACTGCCTTTTATGTATTAACTCGGCGCTAGCATGACAAACAAGCTAAACTGAGGTCCTCCATCCATATTTTCAGTTGCAGACTGAGTCATTTCTACCTTCTCCTCTCTGTCAACGCTCTCTGGTTTCATTTAAAGGAGTCAATCGTCAGATATTGTCCAAGATTAACCTTCAGGGTGGATATAGCTCGCTAACAGCCTCATGCCGATGACCTAGTTGATGTCATCATTTACCCAGAATGCTTTGTGTGTAAATAAAATGGCCCTGTCCATGTAATATATTTTTAAACTTTTAGTTTAAAAATTATAAAAACTGAATATCCAACAGTATTTTTACAGTCTTTATTTTACAGTTAAAGTATATGTTTATCATATAAAGTCTAATGTTACAGCTAATCGGGGATCCCTTTAAGTATAAAAGGAGCAGCCCTGAAAGGCTCAGTCATTCACCATTAAGGATGGGGCAAGGTTCATCACTTTGTGAGCAACTGCGTGAGCAAATAGACCAGCAGTTTAAGGACAAAGTTTCTCAATGTACAATTGCAAGGAAACTATAGTGAACACAGTTTGTCGCTACACCTACAAATGCAAGTTCAAACTCGGCCATGCCATGCATAAACAACACCCAGAAACGAGTCCACATTTCAGATTGTTTTTGTAAATCATGGACATCGTGTCCTCTGGGCCAAAGAGGAAAAGGACTGTCTGAATTGTTATCAGCGCAAAGTTCAAAAGCCAGCCTCTCTGATGGTATGGGGGATGTATTATCGCCCATGGCGAAAGTAACTTGCACAGCTGTGAAGGCACCATTAATGCTGAAAACTACGTACAGATTTTGGAGCAACATCCAGTTATGCTGCCATCCAAGCCACGTCTTTTTCAGGGACATCCTGCTGATTTCAGCAAGATGATGCTAAGCCATATTTTGCAAGTGTTGTAGCATTGTGGCTTCATAGTAAAAGAAACTAGACTAGGTATACAGACCTGCCTGCTGTCCATACCTGGCCCCCATTGAATGTGTGTGGAACTTCATGAAGCACAAAATACAACAACAGAGACCCAGACTGTTTGGCAACTGAAGTTGTTCATAAAGCAAGAATAAGAAAGAATTCCACTTAAGCTTCAACAGTTGTCCTTAGTTCCCAAATGGTTATTGAGGGTTGTTAAAATGAACATTGACTTAACATAGTGAAAATATGACCCTTTCCCAGCTTTTTTTAAATGAGTTGCAGGCATCAAATTCAAACTGAGTTAATATTTGCAAAAAAACAATGAAGTTTATCCATTTGAACATTAAATATTTTGTATTTGTAGTGTATTCAATTGAATACAGGTTGAAATGATTTGCAAATTGTCATATTCTGGTGTTATTTATGTTTTATACAACAGTCCAACTTAATTGAAATTGGTGTTGTACAACCAATTAGTTTCATCATCTGTCATGAGATATTACAGACAAATAAACAGTCATGCACTCACAGATACACAGCAAAACCATTATCATCCTTTCATCTTTGGCTTTGAGTGATTAAAAGCATAATGTTCTTGAATGACACTCACCATCCCTGCAGGTCTGTAGTCCTGAAGCCTTTAGCAAATGGGTTGCTTGCAATTTTTAGTTGAGTGATCTAAATAAAAGTAAAAAAGAGGCGTTATTTAAGATAAATAATGCTTTTTAATCCTGTACTTGTTGCCACCCACAATGAAAGAGCAACAAATCAGATTACTGATGAGAGTTTAATATTGTTTTTTTAGTTTATGACCAGCAGTAATTCTCTTTCCTCTGAAGTCCTATTTTTTAACATGTGGTTCTGTTCTCTACCCTGTGGTCCCGTGTCCTAACGAGTGGTTCTGTTCTCTACCCTGTGGTCCCATGTCTTAACGTGTGGTTCTGTTTCCTTCCATGTGGTCCAGTGTTCTAATGTGAGGTCCTGTTCTCTACCTTGTAGTCCCGTGTCCTAAAGTGTGGTTCTGTTTCCTACCCTGTGGTCCCGTGTCCTAACGTGAGGTTCTGTTCTCTACCTTGTAGTCCCGTGTCTTAACGTGCGGTTCTGTCTCCTACCCTGTGGTCTTATGTCCTAACATGAGGTTCTGTTCTCTACCCTGTGGTCCTATGTCCTAATGTATGGTTCTGTTCCCTACCCTGTGGTACTGTGTCCTAACATGTGGTTCTGTTTCCTATCCCGTGGTCCTGTGTCCTAACATGTGGTTCTGTTTCCTACTCTGTGGTCCTGTGTCCTAATGTGTTGTTATGTTCCTACCCTGTGGTCCCGTGTCCTAACGAGTGGTTCTGATCTCTACCCTGTGGTCTCGTGTCCTAACGAGTGGTTCTGTTCTCTACCCTGTGGTCCCGTGTCCTAACGAATGGTTCTGTTCTCTACCCTGTGGTCCTGTGTCCTAATGTGTGGCTCTGTTTCTTACCCTGTGGTCCCGTGTCCTAACGTGTGGTTCTGTTCTCTACCTTGTAGTCCCTTGTCCTAACGTGTGGTCCTGTTTCCTACCCTGTGGTCCCGTGTCCTAACGAGTGGTTCTGTTCTCTACCCTGTGGTCCTGTGTCCTAATGTGTGGTTCTCTTTCCTACCCTGTGGTCCTATGGCCTAACATGTGGTTCTGTTTCCTATCCTGTGGTCCCGTGTCTTAACGTATGGTTCTGTTTGCTATCCTGTGGTCCCGTGTCCTAACGAATGGTTCTGTTCTCTACCCTGTGGTCCTATGGCCTAACATGTGGTTCTGTTTCCTATCCTGTGGTCCTATGGCCTAACATGTGGTTCTGTTTCCTATCCTGTGGTCCTATGTCCTAACATATGGTTCTGTTTCCTATGCTGTGGTCCCGTGTCCTAACGAATGGTTCTGTTCTCTACCCTGTGGTCCCATGTCCTAACGAGTGGTTCTGTTCTCTACCTTGTAGTCCCTTGTCCTAACGTGTGGTTCTGATCTCTACCCTGTGGTCTCGTGTCCTAACGTGTGGTTCTGTTTCCTACCCTGTGGTCCCGTGTCCTAACGAGTGGTTCTGTTCTCTACCCTGTGGTCCCGTGTCCTAATGTGTGGTTCTGTTTCCTACCCTTTGGTCCTGTGGCCTAACATGTGGTTCTGTTTCCTACCCTGTGGTCCCGTGTCCTAATGTGAGGTTCTGTTCTCTACCTTGTAGTCCCGTGTCCTAACGTGTGGTTCTGTTTCCTACCCTGTGGTCCCGTGTCCTAACGTGTGGTTCTGTTTCCTACCCTGTGGTCCTATGTCCTAACATGTGGTTCTGTTCTCTACCTTGTTGTCCTATGTCCTTATGTATGGTTCTGTTTCCTATCCTGTGGTCCTGTGTCCTAACATGTGGTTCTGTTTCCTATCCTGTGGTCCTGTGTCCTAACATGTGGTTCTGTTTCCTACTCTGTGGTCCTGTGTCCTAATGTGTTGTTCTGTTTCCTACCCTGTGGTCCCGTGTCCTGATGAGTCCCTGTGGTCCCGTGTCCTAACGAGTGGTTCTGTTATCTACCCTGTGGTCCCGTGTCCTAATGTGTAGTTCTGTTTCCTACCCTGTGGTCCCATGTCCTAACGAGTGGTTCTGATCTACCCTGTGGTCCCATGTCCTAACGTGTGGTTCTGTTTCCTATCCTGTGGTCCTGTGTTCTAACACATGGTTCTGTTTCCTACCCTGTGGTTCTGGTAGGCGGTGACGGCCATGAACCGTGTCTCAGGGAAGCAGAAGGAGCAGAAGTTCTTGTAGGCATTCAAATGGCTGTTAGGAGCTGGGTCCACGTACACCACATGGAAGCGCGGCTGATAGCGATGCATTGAGTTCAGTATCATCTGTAAATTGGGTAAAGGGGAATCCACAAGCCTGCTGTAATAAACATTTTATACGTATCCCAAAGTTTTAAACTGTGTTGAGAAATGACAGAATTAATTTCTTAATTTATTTCTATATTTATTAATTTATGAATGCTTGTGTATTGTTTTACTCAATTGTCAGCTACTTGCATTGTCTTTGCCTTATTTATCTTTAGTTTTCTGTGAAAATGACTAACTTTAGTTTGTTTCATTCTTGAACTATACATTATTTTACATAAACCAGCCACCTTCTGGATTTTCTTTCCTCTTTTGCCTTGGATATACAACAAAATCAGTTGTAGATGAATATCCAGTGATTGCTTTCTGGAGTTTTATTAAAATCCATCTAGTGATTTGTGCCAACACTACAGACAAACCCATACAAACATGGCTATAAGCATTTTTGCCGCTTCACCTTCATCCATGAGTGATAATAAAAATAACTAGAAGCACTCGGAGAGTGCAAACCTCCACCAAGACCAATTCCCCCCCATTCTGTAATAGAGTTAATGCGCAAAAGCAGAGATGGAAATATATTTACCGAATAATATCTGACGTCGCAAACATTGAAGCAGGCAGTATGCATGGAATTTCTTCCCAGTGGAGTCCAATGTGAAAAAAAAATCAGACTCGTCACCTGACGTTATTCATGGTCAAATTGGTGTCGGATTAAGCTCCTAAGTTTTCATCAGTCACATTTCACCGTGTAAAACGTCTGTTTTATCCCTTTGTATGAGTTTGTAAAGGTTTGACTCTTTATAAAGTGCTTCCTGGCTCCACCGTCTCCAAACTTTGAGGCCTGGCCAGAAGCTCTCTGTTTACAAGCCTAGTAGAGAGAAACTGTTTTGGTTGGTTGTTTCGGAAATGTGGTGTGTTTGAGGAAATGGGAAAAATAGGTTTCATGGTGCAGTCACCTCCTGGTCACAAAAC